TGTGGGCAACCTGAGACCAAGGTGGATAATGATGAGCTGAAAGCTGTAGTGGAAGTGAATCCATCTCAACCTACGTGCGCATTAGCAGCAAGGTTTGACGTTACTATTCCAACATATTGGACCAATTGAAACAAATGGGCAGGTCAAGGAGCTGGATAGATGGATACCACATGAATTAAATGAGCGTCAGAAAAGCAATCATCTCAAAGCTTGGCCTTCTTTGCTGTCACAATATAAAGGCGAACCATCTCTATACTGTATATGATGAAAAATGGATTCTTTTTGACAATTGCAAGTGTTCAGCACAAGGGTTGGACAAAGGTGAAGTGCCAAGTAGTAGGGGGGGAAAAAGAGAAAAAAAAAAGAAGTGCCAAAACACAGTCCAAAACCGAATATTCATCAAAAAGCTAATGGTGTCTGTTTGGTGGTCCAGCGCTGGTATTATCCACTACAGCTTCATGAAACCTGGTCAGTCAATTACAGCGGATGTCTACTGCAAGCAATTGGATGAAATGATGAGGATGGTTGTGATTAAGCAGCCAGGATTGGTCCATAGATACAGGCCAGTCCTCTTGCAAGACCACGTGTCTCACAAACAATGCTGCTCAAACTACAGAAGCTGGACTTGGAAACTCTCTGTCATCCACCCTATTAACCAGGCCTTGCACCAACTGACTACCACTTCCCCCAGGCTTGGACCACTTCTTGCAAGGAAAAATATTCAATTCTCAACAAGCCGTGGAAAACGCCTTTCATGATTTCACCCCTGCTCGCTCTCCAGGCTTCTTCGCTGCTGGCATAAACAAGCCACTGTTAAGGTGGCAAAACTGTGTGGATAGTTCAGGCGCATACTTTGATTAATTGTACTGCTTCTTGTTTGAGATATAATAAACTACACTTTTGATTCAAAATCGGATATTTCATCTTTAATGACCTAGTATATTATAGCCTTCTTTGTCTCGTTAGCTTTGTTGATTTAAAGTCTACTTTGTATTTATTCGTGCAGCCGCCCCTGCTCTCGATTACTGTTTGCGTGGAACACCTTTTTCCATCCTTTCACTTTCAATCTAATCGTGTCTTGGGCTCTAAGGTCAGTCTCTTGTGTCATATATAGTTGAATCGTGTTTTTAAAATTAATCCATTCTGCTAATCTCCTTTCGATTGGAGAGTTTAATCTGCTTACATTAAAGCGATTACTGATAAGGAGGGACTTTTGTCATTTTGTTACTTGTTTTCTATATGCCATATAATGCTTTTGACCCCCATTTCCGTGCTATATTCTTTTATGTTTTTTATTTCTTTTGAGTGAAACATTTTAATTCCCTTCTTGTTTCTTTTATGTATATTCTGTAGCTATTTTCTTTGTGATTGCCATAGAGATTACATTTAACAGCCTAATGTTATATCAGTTCATTTTGAATGTATATCAGTTGAATTTCAATAACATACAAAAACTCTGTCCCTGTGTGGCTCCATTCTTACCCCGTTTTGGTGGTTGATTTCACGAAATTACATCTTTATAAATTGTGTGTCCAAAAATGTAGACTAATAATTTTTTATTGCGTTGGTTTCTTAAATTATGCAGAGGATAAAATTTGGAGTTAGAGTCCAAAGTTATAGTATTACTAGCTTTTAGGTTATTTTTAAAAATGTGTTAGTCCCTTAAATCATGTAGAAAACAAAAAGATGAGTTAAAAACTAAAGTTACAGTAATACCAGGTTTCGTAATTGCCCGTGTGTTTACGTTAATTGAGAACTGTATTTCTTCATGGGACCGACTCACTCTCTGGCATCCTTCCACGCCAGCTGTCGGGGCTGCTCTGAGCATTCCTCGCAGGGCGGGTCTAGTGGTCACGAGCTCTCGCACCTGTATCTAGGATTGTCTTAATATTCCTCATGTTTGAATGACAGCTTTGCTAGGTACGAGATTCTTGGGCGGCAGTTTTGTTTTTTAGTGCTTCAAATATGTCAGCTCACTGCCTCTGTCCTCCAAAGTCTCTTCTGAGAAATCCGCTGATAATCTTATCTAGGGTCCCTTGTTTGTTACAAGTGGCTTCTCTCCTGCTGCTTTTAAAATTCTTTCAAAAGTTTGATCATACTGTGTCTTAGTGTGGGTCCCTTTGAGTTTGTCCTGCTTGTAGGTCTTCGTGCTTTTTGGATGTTTCTGTTTACGTCTTTCATCAGTTTGGGAAGTTTTCAGCCATTATTAACTCAAATAATCTCTCTGACCATTTCTTTCTCTTCTCCTTCAGGAAGTCCCACGATACGTATGTTGGTCTGCTCTGTGGCGTCCACGGGTCCCTCAGGCTCCGTTCACTTTTCTTCTTTCTGTTCCTCGTACCTGACATTTCCATTGTCTTACCTTCACACGTGCTGATTCTACCTTCCGCCTGCTCAAATCTGCCTTTGAATCCCTCGGCGAATGTTTCATTTCCATTATTGTGCTGTTCTGCTCCAGATTTTCTTTATGGTTTCTTTTTAGGTTTTCTGTCTCTTTATTGATATTTCCATTTTTTCCATGCAGCATTTGCTTTCTCCACACCTTCTTTTAGCTCTCTAAGCATCTTTGAACAGTTGTTCTGAAGTCTTTGTCTAGTAGATCTGCTCTCAGGTCTTTCTCAGGGGTTGTTTGTTCTCTTCGAGTGGGCCATCCTTCTCTCTCTGTGCAGACGTTTGAATCCAGTAAATTCTCTCCCTTCCCCAGGTCGAGCTGATTTTTGCTTTTGGGCTGCAGACTCCGTGCTGGGGTCACACCGAGGTGTGAACGCGAGGCCGTCTCAGGTCTCTGGGCCTGCGCCTTCGCTGGCTCGTGCTTGGCCACTTTCCGATCTCCTCTGTTCGTGCAGTTGCCTTAGAAGGTCTTCGTTGTTAAACATCTGGCTTTCAAAGGGGACGGAGAGCAATGTTAAGGTGGTGGAGAAGTCGCTTCAGGCAGGGACGGCCTGCGACAGTGTGGGCAGATGCAGCAGTGGCGTCCACCTGTCTGTGCCTCTGAGCAGAGCACAGATCCCACGTGTTGGGGGCAGGGTGCTGTGCCCACCCAGCCCTACCCGCTGTGCAGGCTGCTGTGTAACAGCTGCGGAGCGGCCTGCGGGGCGGGGTGGGGGTGAGTCGCTGCTGTTGTGCTGGGAGCTGAAATGGACCAGAATTGAGCACAATTCATCAGTCACGCCTTCCCGGGACGTTGCGACCGTCCAGAGACTCCACAGTTCCAAATTAGTTACGTCCGACAGGTTCTGCCCACAGGGCTGTCGTCCCGGTGCGGAGACGGCGCCCTGGTGCTCCCTGCTGTGCCGTCCTCCCAGAATCCTGCCCGGACCTTTCCTGTGTTGTTTTCTAATGGTGCGCTCTTGTACTTCTTTCCTAGTGCCTGAGATCGTGAGGGAGACGCAGGACCTGATTGAACAGGGGGCGCTCCTGCAAGCCCACCGGAAGCTCATGGACCTGGAGTGCTCCCGAGACGGGCTGATGTACGAGCAGTACCGCATGGACAGCGGGAACACACGTGACATGACCCTCATCCACGGCTACTTCGGCAGCACGCAGGGGCTCTCCGACGAGCTGGCCAAGCAGCTGTGGATGGTGCTGCAGAGGTCGCTGGTCACCGTCCGCCGCGACCCCACCTTGCTGGTCTCGGTCGTCAGGATCATTGAAAGGGAAGAAAAAATCGACAGGCGTATACTTGACAGAAAAAAGCAAACCGGTTTTGTTCCTCCCGGGAGGCCCAAAAATTGGAAAGAGAAAATGTTTGCCATCCTGGAGAGAACCGTGACCACTAGAATCGAGGGCACACAGGCCGACACCCGGGAGTCGGACAAGATGTGGCTCGTCCGCCACCTGGAAATCATACGGAAGTACGTCCTGGATGACCTCATCGTTGCCAAAAACCTGATGGTTCAGTGTTTTCCACCCCATTATGAGATCTTTAAAAACCTCCTGAACATGTACCACCAAGCCCTGAGCACACGCATGCAGGAGCTGGCGTCAGAGGACCTGGAAGCCAACGAGATCGTGAGCCTCCTGACGTGGGTGCTGAACACTTACACGAGGTACGGCCAGCTTTACGTCTTCCGCTCTCTTTGCGTAGAAACCTGTGCGTAAAAACCTGCCACAGACGGTCGCCACATGGTCCAGTGTGCTGTTTAGCACTGGGCAGGTGCCCTGCGCCCGCGCACGGAGTCAGGGCCCCGCCCACGGGGTGGGAGCACCGTCATGTCTGGGCGCTGTCACCGTGAGCAGCTCGGCGCTGGGCTTGTTTTCTGTTCTCACCGTGGCTGGCTCGTGTCTCCCCACGGACACCAGGAGGCGAGTGTGTTCTCGCCCCACTTTACAGGTGAGGGCAGGTGGTCCCAGGAGGTGCTGTGACCTGCACAGTCACCGCTGGGGAAGAGACCACCGTCATCATCTTCCCAGCTTCTAGCAACACCAAGTTTTGTTTCTTTTCGCCAGTCAACGACAGTGGTTAATCTTTCAGAAATAAGTTACGGCATAGAGAGTCCTAGAAAAATCAATTATCCTTTTTGCATCTTAGCGTGAGACTTTGTTACTTCACGTGAGGGAACTTGAGCCGCTTCACGCGTGGATTGACGTGAGGTAGGGTTTAAAACATGAGCCAGTGGTGGAGATGTTCTGAAATTCCTTAAGGTTCGGTAGCTGAAACGGTAATTTATTTAATTTTGCATGGTTCCGTGGATAGAAAACAGGATTAAGTCAGGTACTGGGAGTTTTTTCCTTTTTCCCATCTTGTCACTGCTGTGGAGGAATTAAGCAACCCTCCTTTTTTAGCAGTGAGATGTGTTTGTTTGCTGACAGTCGCTTCCATTCGAGAGTTAGCGCTCTTCAGTGCAGGAGGATGTGAACAGAAAGGAAGTGTCCCCCAGAGGTGACCATCTTGCGGCTTTACTGTGCGCGGCCCAGGACGCCATGCCCCGTACCCCGTGCCCCCAGATAGCCGCGAGGCGGGGACTGCCGTGACCATCGTCCTCAGCATCTACTGTGCCTGGCAGGAGGTGGGAGGTCTTCCGATCATCTTCAGCCATCTTCCTTATGGGTGAGGAAGCCGAGGCACACGGGAGCAGCCACGTGCTGTGGCCGGCAAGTGGGGGCAGGGTTCAAATCCAGGCCCTGGGCTGCCTGGGCTCCAACCGCTAGACGGGCCGCACGTTTGCGCAGCCTGCGCCGTCTCTGCCTTGACTCTGAGCGTCGTCCCGTCAGCCGAGGACGCTCTGCTGTGGCGGCCCCTCAGGCGGGGTGCGCTGCCCCCCAAGGGAACCATCTCCCCGAGTCGGGCTGCTTGGGGCGGAAGGAGTCTGGGTTACGCAGAGGGTCCTTGCTCACCTGCGGAGTTTCCTGGAGCTCTTCTCCACTCAGGAAGATCTCGGATTTCTCACAGATGGTGGACTGGCTGTCAGTGACACTGCTCAGTGTCATTCTGGAGATTAATACGTCTTTAGGGAAAGTAGAGAAGACGTGAATTTTCCGAGTGACCAAACCTTTGATGTTTAAGGACCCAGCCACAAATATTAACTTTCTCACGAAAGCTTTTTCTGGCCTGCGGTGAGTGCTCCCTGCTGTCTGCACAGTGGGCCGCGCACGGCTTTGCTGGTTCCTGTGGACGCTTCCATCAGCAATGTCTCGCATTCTGCGTGTTGGTCGTCGTCTTCCAGAGACGAGCGGCGTCACTGCGGTGGCTCGTGTCTCCAAGTCACAGTGCAGTCACCCCTCGGTGTTGAAGGGATTTGGGTCCAGGACCCCAGTGGGTACCAGAATCCTCCGAGGCTCAAGTCCCTGATCTCAGATGGCGCAGTATTTGCAAATAACCCACGCGAATCTTCCGTGTGCTCTACATTCTCTCTAGGCCACTCGTGATGCCCACTGCAGTGTCAGCGGTGTGGACGTAGCTGTACTGTATTGTTTTTTAATTTGTATTCCTTTTTGTTGATTTTTCCCAAATGTTTTCCATCTGTGCTTGGTTGAGTCCGCGGATGCGGAGTGCTGGCTGCACTTACTCGTGACCCTGTCAGTCACGCGTGTTCCTGCAGCACTTCCTGTTTGCCAGGCCCTGGGGGTTCTCTCCTGCATTTGAGCCCCGGTACCCTGTGAGGCCGGCACAGTGGGACGAGGCCAGGCTTGAGGTGACTGTGGCTGCGCAGCCAGCGAGGGGCCGTCCCGGGGCCCGATGCCCTCGGCTCCTTGCCGGCACGCTGCCTTTTCCGAGTGCTGGGAAGGCTGGATACTGAGGTCTCCGGGACGGTGGGTGTTTGCACGTCGGAAGAAATAGCAGCACTTAGACTCACTTGAGCACATTCTTCCTGGGTCCCTTGGGGTTTGTCATTCTCATTCCCGGCTTCCCCGCAGCGTGGAGATGATGGGGAACGTGGAGCTGGCCCCAGAAGTGGACGTCAGCACCCTGGAGCCTCTGCTGTCCCCACACGTGGTCTCTGAGCTGCTCGACACGTACATGTCCACGCTCACTGTGAGTAGCGCCTGGCCTGGGGCCCAGACGCCGCTGCGCTGGCACCTGTCAGCTGGGCTTTGAGCAGCGGGCGGGAGGCAGGGTGAGGGACGTGCGTTTGCAGTGAGCGGCGGGGAGCAGCCCTTCCTCTGGGCCTGGCTGTGGAGGAGGGAGCCATCCTCGGGTCCAGGCCACGTGCCGTGGTGCCTGGCAGACTCTGGGTCTGGGTGAGGGTGGCAGTCAGGACTGAAGGGCAGGCTGGTGACCACGGGTGATCATGGAGTGAGGGGGCCTGTGCGGCCAGACAGCAAAGACAGGGCTGTGACTGCTGCCACTGGAAAGGGGAGCCGTCTGCTCTGGGGACCTGAGCTGGTGGAGCTGCTGCTTCTGGGCAGGGAGGGCCTGGCGGGGCCGGAACTCGTTCTCCCGCTCGTCCGTGTGCTTCTCACCAGCGGTCTCGGCCGCCAGCGGCACCTGTGTCCAGGAGGTCTTCTGGTCCCTTCTCCCTCTGGGGTGAGGCTTTTGGTGAAAGTCCACGGAGGCTGGTTGGGTCCTGCTCTCCACAGAGGCGGCTCAGGAGGTCCCCACTCCAACGTCCTCTTTGTTGCGGGGCAAGGCTGCTGGCGCCCCGCGGATTCTGGTCTGTGCAGCGGGACACCACGGCAGAGAGGGCAGTTGGCGCCACTCAGAAGCGCCTGTTCTGTTCTTTTTTTCTGCTGAACCTCCTCTAGTCCAACATCATTGCCTGGCTGCGCAAAGCACTAGAAACAGATAAGAAAGACTGGGCCAAGGAGACGGAGCCTGAGGCCGACCAGGACGGGTACTACCAGACGACGCTCCCCGCCATCGTCTTCCAGGTACCTCCACGGGGCTCGGCCGTGTCCTGGGAGGCTCATGGGGCTGTAGGTTTCACAGGGGACCCGAAGTGCCCCGATCTTTGTGTGTAGAGCAGAGTAGAGACCCTGAGAGCCCCGCCGGGCCCATCCAAGTCCCGTTCCCCCCTCTGCTCTGCGCCCCCACCACGCCCAGCTGGAGAAACCCAGGGTCGTACTTGCCGGGTAGTTCTGCCTCAGTCACTTTAGTTTGACTGGTCTTCTCGGGTTTGCGTTAGAGCCTGATCGCGTCATAGCATGTGACTTTCCAACTCGAGTTTGCTTGCTTGATGTTGCTTACTGTTGTGAATGGCCAAGATTTTGGCGTCAGAAATGCCACATGACTGAGTCTAGTCTGGCGGATTTGGGGAAAGACCTTTAGCGTTTTCAAGGTGCTTTCCTGCACTGGCTGTGGTACCAGGTGCCGGACACCTGGGCGTCCTCACAGCTTCCTGACCTCCGACGCCTGGCCGCCCGTTCCCCTCGCCCCTGGCCCTGGGGCGTGACACGTTTTCTTCCTTTGAGGGAAGCGGCCAGGGTGGGAGCTGAGTAGGGTTAGAGTAGTCACTGCGGACTCCGCCCGCTGCGAAAGTGTGTAGATGGCCAGGCTGGCGGGTGACGGCTCTCCCTGGATGACGCTGTCGGTCAGCAACGGCTCAGGCCCACCTCTGCTTCATGCTGGAGACTGACGAACGAGACAGCCCCGCCCCACGCCTTCCTCGTCCGCCCCGTCCCACCCACTGGCCCCGCACTGTCCCCTGGCTCTTAAGAAACCTGCGTCACAAGTACGTGGACGCGAGTGAGGGTGAAACACCCCAGGAGCAGGCCAGGGCGGGAGCTGGTGCCCCTCCCCGTCAGCACGTCACAGCTCCCGTCCTGCGGCGTGAGGACGGACACGCGCCCCTTGGTAGAAACCAACCTGCAGGTAATTAAGCAATGATTCACTTGTCACCTGGTGAGAAGGTTGTTTGCTTTTTAGCTAACTTTGTTATTTTCCAAGTAGTTTCATTTTTTCTCTGAATTTAGACACCCTAACTACCAATTAGTAGATGGGGGTTTGTATAACAAGAAACCTGCGCTCTGTGTATACTCTTGTGAGATGATATCAGAATTCATAAGTTCTCCAATTTCCAGATGTTTGAACAGAATCTTCAAGTTGCTGCTCAGATAAGTGAAGATTTGAAAACAAAGGTACTAGTTTTGTGTCTTCAGCAAATGAATTCTTTCCTAAGTAGGTATGTATTTTTGCCAGTCTGCTAATTTAGAAATTACATGTTTTTAAAAATGAAGAGCAAAAATTAATTGGTCCCAATATGCCTGTTATTGAACAAAAATTAAGACTGGAGATTCCCCGTACGTCGCCTCCTTTTGTTGCTTAGCAACGCAGAAAGGTGGAGCGGGGCTCTGTTGTGATCGCCCTTTCTCAAGGGCCACCGCATCCGCTTGGCCTGCCCACCCTGCTGTGCCACATGGTCCCATGCGGTGGCTCCGCCGTGCTGGCACCACGGTCGGAGCCTGTCCCAGAGACTCTGCGTTCCTGGGCTGGGGACGGCGGCCGTGAGAGGGGCGCCGGCAGTGGGACAGCCCTGGCAGAGGCTTCGAGGTGGGCACGGCCCAGCGTGCTGCCTCCCCCGGGCTGCCTATGAAGCAGGTTTTCAAACCTATGCAGAAGTAGAAAGCATGGCTTCAAAGACCGTTCACCCCTCACCCACGTTCAGAAGCTCCCCCTTCCAGAGCCCCCGAGCCTCATGTGTTCTCCCGCCATCCTTCCCTCTACTGGAGTTCCCTGAGGCAAACCCCAGAGGCTGACGTTTCCCCCGTGTTCGCCACTGCAGCTGCAGTGCCACCCAGCCACCCCACCTGCACAGGGCTCCCCGGCGTCTGCCTCGCACGTGGTCGTTGGGGGAGCTAGTCTCCGGTGCAGGAGAGCCGCCCACCCAGCCCTGGCTGTGGGAGAGACAAGCAGGTCTCTCGTGCCCAGCATCCTCATGGCGTCCCTCAGCCCGGTCCTCAAACCGCTATGGCGTCCCTCAGCCCGGTCCTCAAACCGCCATCTGCCCACCAGCCCAAAGTCGGCTCTGAGGCTCGCTCAGCTCTCTCTTCATTTATTCGCTGGCGCGTGTGCCCTCCACGCTGTAGCTGTCACTAGACGTGGCTTCTGTGTGTCCTGTCCTGGTGGCTCAGGTACCAACAGCCGAGCCCTTTGCTCAGAGTCCCCTGCCGTCCGTCCACAGGGTTCATGGCCTGAGTCCCTCACCCCTGCTGTCCCCAGCTCCCAGGCCATGGCCCGGTACCAGTCCACGGCCTGTTAGGAACCAGGCCACGGCCTGTTAGGAACCAGGCCACGTGTTACCGCCTGCTGCACCCCACCCCACCCCTGCCCGTCCGTGGAAAATTGTCTCCCACGGAACTTGGGAATGGGACACGCAGCAGGAGGCGAGTGGCAGGTGGGCGAAGCTTCCTCTGCGTTTACAGACGCCCCATCCTCGTGTCACCGCCTGGGCTCCGCCTCCCCACCCCACCCCGTCCTTGGAGAAACTGTCTTTCATGGAACCAGGCCCTGGACCCAAAAAGGTTGGGGGCCGCTGCTCTATCCCGTCCCCCAGGGGTCTCGGCCCGAGTTAGTCGTTTCTTTTGAGGTCAGTGTCGGTGGTGGTGTGGGGTCCACTGCAGAGGGAGCTTCCCTGACCTCAGGGCCATCTGCCGCCCTGAGCCACCCTTCAGACAGAAAGGCAAAATAATAATAAAGGCCTCACACATTCCCCGATGCCAGACTTTGTTCGCCCCTTTCTTAATATCTCTTAAAAATATTTACAGGCCGTTCACGGTAGTATTCTACTCCCATATATGTTTGAGAATTTCCATAATATGTTTAAAAACAAAGTGTGTAGCCATCTAATTGTTTGTTTTCTTGATATTTCAACTGTCTTCTTGATAATTTTTTTTTTTTGAGACAGAGTCTCACACTTTTGCCCGGGCTAGAGTGCTGTGCCGTCCTAGCTCACAGCAACCTCAAACTCCTGGGCTCAGGCAATCCTTCTGCCTCAGCCTCCCGAGTAGCTGGGACTACAGGCATGTGCCACCATGCCCGGCTAAATTTTTCTATATATTTTTAGTTGTCCAATTAATTTCTTTCTATTTTTAGTAGAGACGGGGTCTCGCTCTTGCTCAGGCTGGTTTCGAACTCCTGAGCTCAAACAATCCGCCCGCCTCGGCCTCCCAGAGTGCTAGGATTACAGGCGTGAGCCACCGCGCCTGGCCTTCTTGATAATTTTTAATTGGGCTTCTTCTGGAAAAATTTCTGAAAAGGACATTTGGGTGATATTCTTAAAACTATTGTATGAGTTGCTTGGTAAGTTGTGTTTCAGATAAAATAAGATAATCTTTTTCCACTACTTACAATTAAGTATTTCACAGTGTTTTTACAATTAATAAGTGGAATACTGAACCATATTGCTAAGGCTGATCTGGAATTATTTTTCAATCATCCATGTAAATGCTCAGTTAACTCTATTCTTCTGTTAGTGTGGATCATCTGAAAATTTATTTTTAAAAGCTCGTCTGGTCAAACGTGCAATTTCTGTCTCGGGCGTACCGTCCGTGCAGCGTTTGAGCAGCTGCGGGCCGCCCTGGGCGCGGTTCCGACGAGCGCCTGTGCCCGCAGGTACAAGGAGGAGGCGCAGCTCTACAGGGAGGAGCACCTGCGGGACCGGCAGCGGCCGCACTGCTACGTGCAGTACATGATCGCCATCGTCAACAACTGCCAGACCTTCAAGTGAGCGAGCCGCGGAGGCTGCGCCTCGGGGCGAGGGGGTGCGGCGCTCAGGCACCTAACTGAACCTGGACTTTCCCCCGCAGAGAATCCATAGTCAGTTTGAAGAGGAAGTACTTAAAGAATGAAGAGGAGGGCGTGTCTCTGAGCCAGCCGCACATGGACGGGGTCCTGGACGCCATCGCCAAGGAGGGCTGCGGCGGCCTGCTCGAGGAGGTCTTCTTGGACCTGGAGGTGGGCTGGCTCTCGCCTGCTGTTTCTGGGCCGTGAAACGCACGGAAACTGCCCCGTGCGACACTGTTGTGAGCTGAGCCATGCGCTGCGTCCGTGGTAAAGCGCGGCAGAGGACCTCTGTTGCCCGTGTGTGGCACAAGGTCCGTCTCGTGCACGGCTCAGCGGAGACTCTCTGAGTAATCACTAAAGACAGCAAACCACCTAGCGGATTCCGAAATAGAAAAAAGCGTGTAGAAGCCTGTCACAGAACCAGACTGAGAGCACATGCACGCACCCACCGCCACGTCACAGAGACCAGGCTCACCTTTGAAGAGAGATGCGAAACACACACACGAAGATCATTCACGCAGTGCATTCAGCCCCTTGTCAGAGGCATAGCGTGCCCTGAACAAGCAGGGTTATTTCAGAAGCACGGAGGTGGTTTAGCATTATTTAGATGCGTTGGCAGAAACCAGGGCTTGTTTGAGACACAAACCCTGCGCAAGTCGTGGTCCCACCAGAGACCCGGCATGGTCGGTGGACGTAGCCACCGACCGGGCAGTGCCGTGCGGGGTGGGAGAGTGGAGACGCAGTGAGAGCTTCCCTGGGGGAAGAGACACTTTAACTCTCAGCTGGTTTAGAGAAAAGAGGGAAATGCTTGCATTTGAAGTTATTTCACAATTCAAAAAAAGACAGTATAATAGAAAAATAGACAGAGGACATGAATGACCACTTCACGGAAAAATAAATAACCAATGTCTGAAACATGAAACAAAACACCCAGTCTTACTGATCATCAAAGAAATGCAGATGAAGACTGAATACTGGCCGGGGGCAGTGGCTCACACCTGTGATCCCAGCACTCTGGGAGGCCGAGGAGGGAGGATCCCTTGAGGTCAGGAGTTTGAGACCAGCCTGAGCAAGAGCGAGACCCTGTCTCTACAAAAAATAGAAAAATTAGCCGGGTGTGGTGGTGCCTGCAGTTCCAGCCACTCGGGAGGCTGAGGCAGGAGGATTGCTTGAGCCCAGGAGTTGGAGGCTGCAGTGAGCTATGATGACGCCACTGCTCTCCAGCCAGGGTGACAAGTGAGACCTTGTGTCAAAAAAAAAGACGACTGAATATTACTATATTTATTGCTTAGCAGGATGGCAACGATTAAAAACACAGATACCACTCAGTGTTGTTGAGCACATGAGAAAAAAGGTGTGTTTCTGTGTAAAACTGAATCAGTACAGTTTTTGGAGGGCAGTTTGGAAATAGTTATCAGAGTTTTAATTTGCATACTTTTTGATTTAAGGAATTTGATTTTGAGGAATTTCACCTGCAGAAATATACAAATTCACTGTTGCATTACTTACAATTGCAAAATGTGAAAAACTCTGAGTGTCCATTAATAGAGAATTGGGTAAATACAGAGTATCCACATAATACATACATGCGTGCACCAGAGGTAGAATGTGCACACGCGTGGCCGTGTTCGTGTCTAAGCTATCGGTCTGTGCGGCCGTACGTGGCGCAAATCTCCTGTCCTTACGGCACGTGCCTGCCGAGTGCGTCACAGTAGCAGTTGCACCCGAGGCGTCTCGCTGTCGGCATCAGGAAGTTGGGGGACGGGCAGAGACCCGCCCTCCCACGCGCGTGCGAGTCTGGCTTGCGGGTTCTGTGATCCGATTGTGCTTTTCAGCAACACCTGAACGAGCTGATGACGAAGAAGTGGCTGCTGGGGTCGAGCGCGGTGGACATCATCTGCGTCACCGTGGAGGACTATTTCAACGATTTCGCCAAAGTTAAGAAGCCGTATAAGAAGGTGAGAATGTGGGTGCCGTCCACGGTTCACCTTCCAGCCGGGGCCCCTCGGGTCCTGTTGGAACCCGGCGTCCAGCGAGTTCCGCGAGTGAGGCTCTGCTGTGGCGCAGCCCGAGGCAGGCAGCAGGCCTGGGAAGGTGGGGTGTCGCAGAGACTGAGCGCCGGCCGCTTTGCTCCTTCCCGTGACCCCGCGAGCCTCCACCCTCCGGGCGGTAGAGGGCGTCGGCGCCACGTGTCCCAGCACAGGCTCAGCGGCGCTGGCCCCACGGAGCAGAGTGGGGCGTCAGGCCGCGAGGAGCGGTGAGGAGCAGGGGTTGCCTGGGCGCCCCTGAGAGCACACGCAGCTGCCGTCCCTCCTCCGCCCCAGCAGAGGCGGGGCTCCTACGCGGTCCCGGTGCGAACAGGAGGGTGAGGGGCCGCGTGCAGGCCCCTGTGGCCCCTGCCCACCGCACCCAGGGTGCCGGGGCCCTGCCCGCACCCTCACCCTCCAGGTCTCCGGTGCTGCTGTTTCCTCACCAAGGCCCGTCCTTAGGTTGCCGTCGTTGCTATTAAAAGTGTTACTTTTTAAGATTAGGCTTTTTAAGTTCTTGTTTCTGGTTCATAGAAACGTCAGTGGTTTGACACGTGGATCTTATTTCCAGGACTTTGTAACTTCCCAGGTGTTGCCGGCAGCCTGTCCGGGTCCTTCAGGAGCTCTCTGGAGACAGTTGTTTGGTCTGTGGATAAGGACGTGGTGTGTTGTTTTCACTTGTGGTCTGTACCCCTTTTGTGTCTTTTCCTTGTCCTGATGCTGGCTTGGACACCTAGGACATGCGGTGTCCTTGTCTAATTCCTGTTTTTAAAGAAAATTCTTCTAACTCTTTGCCAGTAAAAGTGGTACTTACCGGGGAGACCCCAGTGCTTTAAACCGAACCGATCTGGCTGTTCGCAGCTGCCAGGAGGGCTCTGCCCCCTCCGTGCCTGCAGCAGCGGGGGGGCGTCGTCAGCAAAAGCAAACCTTAGGCCAGGGTCTTCCAGAGCCACGGTGTGTCCACAGCTGGCACAGAGACAGCCCCACCGCTGCCTGGGGCTCTGGGGACCTCCCTGCCCCGGCCCGAGGGACGGCAGCCAACACCGCTTGTTCCAGTGAGGCCTCGTGGGCTCGGGTGGCGGGACCTCGGCGAGGGCAGGGGCTCCAGACCGCAGGTGCCACGCGGGAGCGTGCGTGGTCCACACACCACGCGGGAGCGTCGGGACCGGCTGGCGCCTGCAGCAGGTTCCCAGTGCTCGCTGTCCTGCGTCACGCCACGGCAACAGAACAGCAGAGTCCCCTCAGAGGACGTAACCTGGACGGCGGCCCCCAGCGGAGGTGGGGCCACAGCCCGGGTGGTGAGCAGTCGCCTCCATCCTCCCTCCTGGCCACCCAGTGGGTACGGGCCAGAGACCCGGGAGGAAGCAGTTCTGTTTCTTTTGGTGTCCTGGGAGGCTTCAGCCTCTCTGCGTCCCTGCGTCGTTGGTTCAGTAGGGTTTTTCTGGACTTCGGTTTAGTGGCCACGGTGACTGTCTGAGGCATCTCTCCTCCCCGCATGGCGGCGTGCGCCCACGTCCCCGATCGGTTAACTCGGGTACGTGAAGCAGACCCCGTCCACAGGCAGCGAGAGGCCCAACACCGCGCAGCCAGCGCCCAGAGAGGGAGGCGCGTGGCGGCCCCGTCCCGGGCACACGCCATCCTCCTCCTGGGTCCTGGCTTCTCCGACACCCGCCGTGTGCCCCGCACGGTGGAGCCGGCGTGGGTGCTCCCAGACGTGCGTAGATGTCGCGCCGTCGTCTTTGTCTCGCTTTTCCGCTTTACCTCCCAGGCAACTGTGACCAGTGTCTGTTTTCTCTGCCGTGTGGGATCCCACGGCCACTGGTCACTCCGTCCTGAGCGGGGCTGCGGTGGGCGCGCGGTGCCGGCATCTGAGTCCGCCGGTCTGGAGCTGTCCCCGTGGTTTTAGCGGGCACCCCCTTGTTAATGCGTGGACACCTTGCATTTGGTTGGTCACTTGGAATTTCTGTTTTCTGAGGCGCCATCAAGGCCTGCACATTTTTGTGCCAAGTCGTCTATTATTTTTCCGTTTGTAGGATTTTTTCTATGTTCTGGATATGGGTTCCTAGCTGGGTACGTGTTACATGCGCTTCCCATCCATGTGTTTCTGTCATGGCCCGAATCGTGTCCCCCAAGTTGACATGTCGAAGTCTGACCCCCAGGACCGCAGGACGGGCCTGTGTTGGGAGACGGGTCTTCGCTGAAGCGGCCGAGTTACCACGAGGGTGTTAGGGTGGCCCCGACCAGCGTGACTGGTGTCCCCTAGGAAGAGGAGATGAGGACACAGACACACACGGAGGGACGAGCCTGAGGACACAGGGAGGGGACGCGTCAACAGGCCTGGAGGGGGTCTCAGGAGCCAGCCCTGCCGACACCTGACCCCAGCGCCATGAGACTCCGTCTCTGCTGCTGAAGCTGCCACGTGTGGCGCTGTGAGCCGTCTGAGCGGGCGGGTGCGGTTTCTAACTCTGCGGTTTCTTTCGAGGAACAATGCCCTTAATTTTAATGGCAAATGTATCGTTTTTTTATGGTTGGGTTTTTCTTCTTTTCTTAAAGGTGGCTTTATAACCTAACCTTCAACAATGTTCTTTTAACCATTAAGTTTACATTTCAAGAATTTTTATTACTAAAAATTATAGGTGTTTGTTTTTTCAAACTTACCTGGTCAGTTTTGAATCTTTTTTTGCATCTTTTATTTCCTTAAATGTTTCGTACGTTGCTGTGTCAGTTGGTGTCAGACAAGCCCGTGTTGGAAGCCCTGGGCTGGGCTGGGTGCTGGTCCCGGGCCGGGCCTGTTGGGTTTTGACTGCCGCGGCTGCTCTCTTGTGCTTCTGTGACCTTTGGCCGTGGATTGTGTGTGGACAGTGGAATCCTTGAAACCCTCAGGGCCTAGGGAGAGGGCACCTCCCTCCAGCAGAACATTGGCTCTTGGGTCGGGAGGCTCCTGGGCGCAGCCGCTGCAGTGGTGCTGAACGGCGTTGCCACCGCTTGCTTTGGGCCGGCGCCTCTCATGCGTCTCGCTGGGCATGGCAGCCGAGCCCTCAGGCCCAGTGGTGTGCGCTGTCTTACTTTGTGCCCAGCGAGTCTTCACAGTAGCTCACATGCCTCCCATGGGCGCAGACCCGTGCAGACGCCCAGCGGAGTGGACGCAGCCCCCAGGGGCCTGCTGCAGCCAGCCAGTGTCGGCCGCAGTTCCGTCGCCATGGGGGGGCCTCTCCGGCAAGCCCAGGCGCCCCCCTTGGCTTCCTGTCCTTCTCTCACCCTAATGCCCCGGGGCCTCCCTTCCGTGCCCCATGCTCCCTCCTGAAGCTCACCCGCTGCCTGCGCTCTGGGCTCCTCTTTCCTCTGAAGCTGCTGTTTTCAGGTGCCGCAGTCGTTAGCTGAGCTGCGCTCGGCAGCAGGTGCCGATGCCGTCTGCGCAGGGAGCGCTGATGCGTGCGCCACGCGTGGGTCGATCCCGTTGAGCCCCGTCTGGCAGGCGAGGCCAGAGCTGGTCTGGCCCGGGGTCCCCCTGTTGAGCCCACGCTCTGCCCTCAGGGGAGACGCTCAGAGGCAGGCAGAGCGAGGCATGGACTGGAGCGCCAGAGGCCGTGGCGTGAGCGCAGCCTGGGTTTCCGTGGGACACGCGTGTCTGCCAGCGTGGCAGTGCTCGTGGCCGACCGCTGTCTCTCCCGCAGAGGATGACGGCCGAGGCGCACCGGCGCGTGGTGGTGGAGTACCTGCGGGCCGTCATGCAGAAGCGCATTTCCTTCCGGAGCCCTGAGGAGCGCAAGGAGGGCGCCGAGAAGATGGTCAGGGAGGCAGAGCAGCTCCGCTTCCTGTTCCGGAAGCTGGCTTCGGTGAGCGTCTCGGTCGTCGTTTGAAAGTCCCGAGTAATTGGCAGCTGCTTCGTGGACTTCTCCGGTGCAGTTCCTCGAGTGCAGCTGCCAGCGCGCGGGAAACGTGGCTCGGCAGCTGCTTTTTCGGTCTCCGCCCCAGAGCTGTTCCGGCCAGTTGGTCAGGTCCAGTCACGTCCGGAGCCACGTGAGGCACGAGCCCCTCGCGTTGTCAGGCGGAGCGCGGGCGTCCAGAGCCTGCCGACTCGGTGCCTGGGACGGGTGGCCAGGGCAGGCGCACTTGCCGCGGTGGCTCCCAGACGGTGGCAGCCCGTGGCCTCGTGGCGCAGAGCCTTCCCCTGGTCTGCTGTGTTCCGAGGTGCCGGGCGCACCCACTGGTGTGAGTCCACAACTGCCACGGCACGGCCCACCCCACCTTCTGGACAGACTTGAGGCGTTTGTGTGAAAGAGGACGGTGCCTGGCCAGGGAACGGTTTTGAAGGCGTCGGAACCCAGGGGTGCCTGCTGCTCTGGGCCGTGGGGCCGAGGGCTGCTCCTCACACGCGTGCTGCTTTCCAGGGGTTTGGTGAAGACATGGATGGTCACTGCGACACCATCGTGGCCGTGGCAGAAGTGATCAAGCTGACAGACCCTTCCCTGCTCTACCTGGAAGTCTCGACTCTGGTCAGCAAATACCCAGACATCAGGTAATGGACGTGCCTCTCCCGTTAGAATTCCCAGGGTGCAACAGCAGCCCTTCCCGCTGTCGTTGGGAAGGTGGAGAGGTCACGGGTCTGGAGATCATCTGTGCACACAGCAGGTTTGGGCAGAAACACGGTGCAGACCGCGCCCGCATGGAGGGCCCGGCCCAAGCAGGGTGGCTTCGTGCCCACGTGGCCGACGCTGTGGTGTGGGTAGGCCGAGGTCATGGGGTGCGTCCTGGCCCGACAACGGTGGGGTGGTGGCTGGGGTGTTGGGCAGGCAGGGGTGGGCCATGGAGTGGTCCGAGTGGGACGACTTTGGGAAACTTGCCCTTGTGCTCGAGGTAGAGAGTGGCCGGGTACCGTGCTCGGCCAGGACACGGGAGTGAGTGCTCACTGGGAGGGAAGGGGCACACCCACCCAGGCCTGGCCTTTGTGACCCCATCTCAGGACACCTGCCATCTCCATGAGAGGCCGCGTGTGACCGAGCCCTGTCTGGACACCTGCCCGTGGCCTGTCACTGCCATTGCTCTGGTTAGGCAGGAGAAGCGGGGTCCCGGGCTCTCCTTTCTGCCCTCTGGTCAGGCCGTCCTGTAAGCAAGGTAGACAAAGGCAAGGTTTAAAGAGCTTTTTGCCATTGCGTATGGAGAACAGACCACAGTAAGGTGAAAACTCAGGTGTTTCCCGCAGAAAAGGAAAGGTCCTTTTATCAGCGGCTGCCCCCACCCGTTCTGGGGCCTTAGTGTGGGCCGAGTGGGCCCAGGCAGCCCCCCTGTGGGCGCCCTGCAGCCTGGGCATGGGGTGTGGGTGTGACCCGTGGGTGCCCACGGCCTGGGCGTGGGGTGTGGGTGTGAACCGTGGGTGGCCACGGCCTGGGCGTGGGGTGTGG